ATATTATTTATAACAAAATGTTAATATAAATATCTTATATAGTTTGGAACAAGTTCTTTTAGCTTTTTTATCATTTGAACTTCAGTAATGTTATTTATTCTGTAAATTTCAAATTTAGGATAATTTATTGCCATTTCCACTAGTCTTGTAATAAAGTCCTAAAAAAATTAAATATTACTGGAGGCACATCGAAACTCTCCTGAATATAACTTATGATCCTCGATTAGACTGTGGCAAGTTTTTTATCCTAGGGCAAGTAGTTTTTTAAGATATAATCATTCTAAATATAGTGTTTTCTTTAAAACCACGATTTATTTGGTTACTTTCTAGCTCCAGTTTAGGTATGAACGAACTTTCTTTTATACGGAGGCTTCATTCATCACTGACCCTTGTTAAATTCGTTAAAAAATTGATTGAACGACTACATCACATTAATGTTCCAATACACTTGTGATATAGGAATATATTATAAATTTCTACTTTCAATTTTGTTTTGTTTGTTTTAGAGCAAAGCCGCATTGGACTATTTGCTCTGTCCACCCCGAGAATTCGAATCCCGGATTTTAGCGTAGACTTACTGCTGGCCCACTCTACTTTCAATCGTTAAATTTAATTTGTTTCACGTTACTTTTATGTAACAGGTACGGTTCGCCGTGGGTTAAACTTTCATCCCTTAGAAATTAATTTATTTAAATCTGTGACAGTGGTGTAGAAAGGAGTTGTAAAGTGGGGTGTGTTTGTCTAGACATGCAGATTTTACAATGAGAGATTGAAAGTGTAAGGAGCTGCTTTTAGCAAAGGCAACTCAATTTAGGAGGGTCTGGGGCACGCCTCAGAAAGTTAATATAGAGTAATATAACTTACAGTTGCTATATATATCAAGTATGTAAAAGTGGGGGGTGCTACAGTGACCCCGGTTCCGACGTTTCTGTGTGATATTTATGCAGTCGTGGGTTAGGCTCACAAGTCACTCAACTCGAGGAAATTTACACAAATAATAATAAAATCACTCTGACATCAGTGGACAAACAACACACATACTTTTATTAGTTAATTACATAAGTAACAATGACTATCTTTCAAACATCTTTTCTAGTGATGTTACAAGTTCAGTCAGAACAGTTATTAAATAATAAAATTATTTTGATCAAATCGTCCCATTCTCTAGTCATAATTACTTATACGTTGGTAGATAAAAGAGAGGTGATAAGATAAACTTATATAGAGGTTGGGTAGTAGAAGTATCTGTAAATAGTAGCTTTGAACACTTGGACCTTGTTGGACCTTGGCTGGAGGACTGGCTTCGAGCTGCTGTCTCTAAGAGCTGCAAGAGCTAGAGCTGGAGCTAGAAAAATCGGAGAGAGCTGCCCAAAAAGCTTCTAGTTGCAAATTATGGAGAGAGCTCCATAAAATTCAGAAAGAGGGAGCTTCTGAGAGAGACTTTACACTATTTTAAATAGCTGTTTGATAAGATTTTTACGTCATATATAGAAGTAGCAACAAATCATATTCCTCCAATTAGATTGCAGACCACAATATCCTCCAATTTGGCTCATTGCAACTATTGACATGATGGACTTCTCCGACATCCTACCCTTCTGCCCGTTACATATTCAGGCGAACAACAATGTCTGTTACAAGAACTTTCGTTTCTCTTTCTTATAGCATTAAATTCCGTTATTATCAAGGGTCATAACAGAGACTTCTATGTCAACATTTCTACACTTCCCGTAAACATCCTGTCAACGCTCTTCATTTGAGATGTATCTGCAGCATCACCTAAGAACTTATGTAAATTTTGTAGATTGTTCTTATTAAATAATCTCACTGGAAGAAAAACGGGTTGCTATCACCACATACCATACCCGTTATTTCGTATCAGGTTACTTCTTCATGTCTTAATAAACTGCATTATAACAATAGGCAAATTATGTTGTTGATAATTATAATGGGTTTGATGAAATAAAGCGTCGAACATTGATTTAGTCAGGTCTTTATCTCTTGTTAATCCCATATGGTCAGTCATTCGTCATGCTAACGTTACTCATGTCTTTGATGTAATAACTCATTACACTTAGTGGCACTCCACTTGGCCATAAGAAAAAACTTATAAAACTAAAGAAAATGTATGTTGAAGAAAACGATTTTTAAAACATTTGCATTATAAGCGATTGTTTCATGTGTTCCTTTGTCATTTTCAAAGTTAAGGTGATATTTATTACAGAAAAAAAACATAGCTTATAATGACTTTATTTAATAATGTCAAGATGTACATGTAATGTCTAGTGACCACGGCCCCAGTAACGTGAAATGAATGACCAGTCACGTGGTAGTGCAGTCATGCTAGTTAAATGCAAAATTTCGTTTTAGGTAGAAAACACATTTGGTTAGTCTGATTCCCAGTGTCATCAAAGTTTGCGATGATCCTGACTGCACGGAAGTGACAGTCTATCATAAGCAAGTACACTCACTTTGTTTTTGATTTTTGAATTAATAAAGAATGTGTTCATGGTGTATTTCACTTTTTGCTCAGTCCATTTATTTCTTAGCTTAAACTCAGCTAGTAAAGTCCAGCCTTGTTCTGACTATCACATCTTGTCGAATCTCATGGTAAGCAGATCTATCAAGTAAATTTGAATGCTATATACAGTTTGTTTGTTTTGATTTTTTGAATTTCGCGCAAAGCTACACGAGGGCTATCTGCGCTAGCCGTCCCTAATTTAGCATTGTAAGACTAGAGGGAAGTCATCACCACCCACCGCCAACTCTTGGGCTACTCTTTTACCAACAAATAGTGGGATTGACCGTCACATTATAACGCCCCCACGGCTGAAAGGGCG